AATACAAAAAGAAAAATAGTGAAATAGTGCAATAAGAGTCTATATACAAGTGATTGGAATATGATATATTAGATAAATAATTTCTAAATTACAGCCAGATTAATGATATGCATGTTGTTTCAAAAGTTCAGGTGTTTAATAGTCTTATGGCCAACCCCAAATAGTGTTTATGTCAGCAGCTGGCCCTGCCATGAAGCATTACTCATTTCCAGATTGCAATTTTTCACTCTTAGTTTTGGATTGATTCTCAATCTGTTCTTGGTCATTCTTAATCCTTCAAGTTTCAAAGGTCGTTCTAAACCCCACCTAATTAATTAAATTAGTTAAGAAGCTGCTGTTTTGCTGTGCAATGCAAGATGTGGCCCTTGAGCTCTGACATGGAGGTTTAAGAAAGTACAGAATAAATAAAATGTATTGCCTTTTCTCACTTAAAGAGAAACCGCTGGCTGCCTTCGGAAATCTTGTGTTTTGAAAGTCGGACATACTCGAAAGTCAATCCCTTATTCCCATTCTACAACATCCTGGTATACAGAAAGTATTAGTATTTAAAAAAAACACAAATTGTGAAATACAATACCAAGTGTAAAACAACGTTTAACAAAAGGTATCTGAATGAGTCTCATCTGTTCATCTTCTTATTTCTCATTCAATGTTTTGTTTTTAAGATGTTACCTGGATTTTGTTGTTGTTGTAAGATAACAGGTTAAGAAAGGAATCAGGAAACCTTGAAGGGGAATTCCACACATAAAACATCCAAGACTGTTTTTTGTCTTGTGGGGAGCACAAATGTATTTTTGTTATTGCCCTTGGCATTGGACATCCATATTTGTATGACCTAAAATACTTTGTAATAACTTATAGTTTGGACATACTACAGTTGGTTTACTTATTGTTGAAGATAAGAAGTTAAACTCCATGTTTTCAAAACAGTTTAAAATCCATATATCCTGTAAATTAAGCATATGCCATATGAATATGCCCTAGACGCAAATAGACCAAAATGTTCACATTGGATCATTTGTCTCTTTAAAACTTGATTTAAAATGTTGAATGTGTTGGTGTGCAAAACACAAGTCTATTTAGGTTGCATTAAGGCAGTTTGCTAATAAACGTCAGCTGTGGATTGAGTCTTGCAATTAAAGAGTATGTAAGATATATAGTATTTTGTATCCAACCAAATGTGATCAACATTAATGATCCCAGTTGAATACCCAACCAGATACAAATTGAATGTACTGGTTTTAGAGTGCAGATTGAATTCCATTTGATAGAAGCTTAAAAAAACAATAGCACATTACTAAAATACTGATACTTATCCATATAAAGGGAGAGCTTCCATAACATAGCAGCTTTTCGTATGAATCACACACAGTCATGATATATTTAACACAGAAACTGTATTAAATATATTATCAGTTTAGTTATGAACTCAAACATACTTCTATAACACTCTTAGAGATGACCTGCCATTGACGTTATGGGAGACGTCCTGGCAGCACTGACCGATTAATGTTATATCTCCATCTCGTTTGAACTCACTTTCAATTTCTTCTGAGCATGTCTTCTTGACTGTGGATGATGGTCATAGCTGGTTTAAAGAGGCTCTTAAACTCTGAGAAAAATAGTTCACTGTCTCCCGAGTCATTAAAGATTATACCCACTATGGGTGCACTGTAGATTTATTAACGTGTACTGTATGAGCCCTTTTCTAGACTTCACATCACATGTCAACATCTGCCTGTTTAACTTTCTTTATTACTTTTCTCTCGGGTTTTCGTGTTTTTATTTTCTCAGGCTGGCTGAGGAATTACTCTTCCGACTGTAAACATATGTGTCTCAATTTCGATACTTCCATGTTCTACACTGTGTAAACTGTGTACTTACTTGCGTAAACTTTGGTTGGTCACTATACTTCTTTAAAACAGTATTTTAACACGTATTTAGCCTATAACAAGTCTTGTTCTGTTTGCAATTTGAATAGATTACACTAGTCCATATTGTGATTGCCATTACTATAACATTACGATTTATTTTGCAGCACTAGGTCTAGCTTTGCAGTAGACCGTTTAAGTAAACTATTTTTTCATATTACACCTCAAAATGATTCCCAATCAGATTTGACCTCCTTATTGTAGGATGTTGATCTAATTTCATATCGACAACAAGCAAAAACACAGATATATTCAATTAGGATTATCAGTCTGTGTCCAAATATTTCACATAGAATACCAAATGAATCCAGGCTAATGCTGCGTTCACACCGGACGCGATGCGATGTTTGGGGGTTGCGCGATTACATGTAAAGTCAATGCAGAGACGTGGACAGACGCGAATCCGCTCCGACGGCGCGGCGCGAATCACGCGATTGAGGCGATTGAACGGTGCTGCGTTAAACGCGAGAGTTCAATCTTTTCAACTCGAGCGTCATATTCGCGTGACGCGTTCTCGCGGAAGCCAATCAGCGGTGAGGATCTCAGCCTGCCGTCACTGATGTTCAACCACACAACATCAGCCGTTAGCTGTTAGCATTTAGCACACAGAGCTCACAGCTCCTCATATCTGTTCAGAAACTGGACAAAAGTTAAACAAGTACAAACCAGACTGTCTGTGTCATGGTGAATACAGTCGCTGGTTTATTTATGTCTGTAGGCCGTTGTTATGAGTGTGGAATGAGCATATACAACGTTAGCTTAGCCTGGTCGACCCGATCTTCATTCAGAAAACAAGCATTTTAAAAGGTTTTTCGCCTGCCGTCTGTCTGCAGACTTGTCAAGCATTAATTCATGGTTTTTACTAACCGGTATCAGTATGTTGTTACTTCGGCATCATTTAGAAATGTGTATTACAATTTAATCACGGTAAAATTGTTCATTTTGTTGTAGTTGTAGCTCCCGAGCCAGCGCGTCTTGTTTGAATGATGCGAGTAAACACAGCTGGCAGCCGCGGTGAAACTCGAGCGTTTAGAGCGATGCGATAGGAGCGATTAGAGCGAAGCGAATATTCGCATCGCGTCCGGTGTGAACGCAGCATAAGGGTTTATTTTAGAGGATTGTGGTAATACAAATGTGTTTTCCTGTATCTCATTTACCCTCATTGCTCAACCTTCAAGCATATAAGCTCCATTGTTATTCTTTGCCCCTACTCATCATGTTCTTAGGCAGCATGCAAATCTGTTGGCCTCTGGTTGGCCACAGTGGGGTTGTTTTTGTGTGTATCCGTTAGTTGCACTGATGAAAAGACCACCTGTCATCCTCTGGCCCTTTGATTAGATTAGGAAGTCAAAGGGAAGGATTAAATTGATATGACGTAGCCCAAGCCCCCATGCAGTGCTTATTGTGTCATTATCAGAGCTCTGATCTGATGTTCTGTGCATTACTGTTCATCTTATATTAAGAAAGGGTATCTCCCTCTAGTCCAGATTTTAATGTCAATCATTATTCATAACACATGGGATTTTTTTCTAGATTCCAGATATGTTAATTAAGTCATCAAGGTAAAACGAAAACGGGACTATTTTCAAGAGGAGGTGTGCTTGCTCTTTACAATATTTGATGACAGCGATTTAAGATGCTTTATCTGTTCTAGAATATTTGAAACAAAAATACATTCAGGCAAACTATACAACAAAGACATATGTAAAATACAACCAAATGAATAATAATACAAGAAATGGTTTTAGCCAATAGCAATGCTGTAGGCACTATTAAAAGTGCCTTGGGACAAATGCTAATTTCTGCTCTCCCAACATGCTCACACGAGCAAAACAACCATGCTGATATTTAGCAGGATTAATGTTTACTATTGATACACAAGTATAGTTAGTTTAACATTTTATAATTAGCACTAAGCAAAGAGTACAGCTGTGCCTGATGGAAAAGCCTTAGTTACTGTCATTAGAAACTACTCACTCTGGGGAACAAATGACAACCAAATTTAATTACTATCAATTTTAAGTTACAATCACACATGGATTTAATGGTGGCTCTCCATTCGTCCATTGTTAAGAAATGTTAGTCTTGACATAAGTGCTAAACCCATGAATAGACCAACATTACCATTCAGCCCTGCATTCAGCAATCAGACGTCATGTTGGACACTCCCCAAAATATGTGTTGTGTTAAGTGTTATTAAAACTGTTCAAGAGAAAAAATGAAAAAAGGTAAACATATTTATTTATAATTATTTTAGGACTAATAATGAATAATTGTTCAAATTCTGATATAAGTTGAAAGTGCATTGAGTAGTCAATTAGATGGTACTTGTCTTCTCTTGAAACCAGCTGGTTCCTTTAGCTTCCTTCATATACAGAAGAACATGGTGTTTCTTAAATCCAGGACATATAGGGCACTCTTACACGTGGACTGACCTGGAAAATGGCAATGCCCCTTTTAAAATATTTACCAGGCATAACTGGAAAACATGTCCGTAAGCCTGTAGTGCGCTTGTGCATTTTATGACGTCTTGCATCATGGCTCTTTGAGTGAGTGCCTATGAATCTAACTCACCCCTGGTAAAACATTGGATACTAATGAATACTACGTCTTTGGTCTTGAATGCTAATGTTGTCTTTATCCATTCTCAGGGAAGGGGGCTCACAGATTCCAAAGACTCAACTCCATCCATAGAATCCAAAACAAGGAAAGGGTTTTAAAGGGGAGGAGGGGTGAAACTGCACTTTTTGTTTTGGTGGATGTCTGTGTTATTTGTAGCTATAGAGGCCAAGTCGCTCCTATTCTTATTCTAATTGGAACTGCACCCTCTCCCATGGCAGCTCTCGTTCCCAGAGTGAGGACCACAGTCTCCCAGCCTCACAGACAGCCACACAGCGAGAGAGAGGGGAAAGGATGGAGGGGGGGAGGGAGGAGTCTAGGAGCTCGATCCCCTGTCTGCTTTGTGAGTGGTTGAGCAAGAGAGAGATAGAGAGAGATAGAGAGCATGAGAGAGAAAGAGAAGGAGGAGGGGGGGGGGCAAGTGAGGGCTGAAGAGACTGAGAATGGATGGGCAAAGAGAAACCCGGCGAGCGAGAGAGGAAGTGAGCGTGTGTGTGTGCTGAGCAGTGAAGACACAGAAAGTCTGAAAGCGCACATCAACACGAGAGCGTGTGAGGCAGAGCCGACCCCCGGCAACTCTGAAGAGTGACACAGAGAGAAGAGGAAGAAACAGCAGAGGAAGAGAAGGACTGAAGACACACTACCAGCTCTGGTAAAAGGAGACACCACTGAGGGACTGTAGCATCCGTCCCCCCCTACTCCAGTAGCACAGAGGAGCACTGTCTCATCCTGTGCATGAGTTGGTGCCTGCCAACTTCAATTTCACACTCGCCCACTGTTTTCCGTAGGTTTTGCCCTCTCCACTCCACAGTCATGATCCCTTGGGTCCTCCTGCAGCTCCTGTGGATCTCCGGACACGGTAAGCTTTTCCACATTAAGTTGCTTATTCATCACATCTCGCGTGCTTGTGATTGCTGAGTGACTTGCTGGCTGGGAACGGTGTCTCTGAATACATCTTGCCGTGATGTCTTGCCAAACCATCTGTGTGTATTAACTGCTTTTATTTATAGCACTCTCGTTATTTCTGATGATTAAAGAGAAAGGAGGAAATTAGAGGATAAGTGGTGCTGGGTTTAAAGAGCTGCGAATAGTTGTGCCCTGCGCTTTCCTCCAGCGGTACTTTGTCGTAGCCTTCGGACGAGACAAGTTAAGTACTTCCTTTTCAGGCTTTATATTCCTGTCACACACATAGACACACACAAACAAAGCCCTCTAACCCCTAGTCCAGTTCAGTCAAGCGTTCGTTCCTGAGTCACATTGTTTTTTAACTGACAGCCCTTCCCTGTTGGGTCCGACTGCGGGGGTCTGGTCAAAAGAGACAGAAAGTGAATTGTAAAGCATCTTTAAGACGCAGTCTCACAAATATCTATAGCTTGGCAACTTCAGCCCTGTGGACAGTATCTGCTTTTTTATTCCTGGACAGTCCTGTTTGTGGACAGAATAAGGATGGATTAGTTGTTTCCCCAGCTTGCCACCAGGTGGTTGTCTTTGGAAAACAATAGAGGTTGAGATAAGTACAGGAGAACTCTACCTCTGTGGTGTGATGTACGGACGCACGCAGGGCAGAATCAGACAGTAGTTGTTTGTCAGCTCCGAGCGTCATGCTGGACCGCAGCGAGCGCCCTGGCTTACGCTCCGCAGGGTCAGGGTCAATGACACAGCAGCCCCCTCTTTTCAAAGGATGACCCCGTCCCGTTGGACTACATTCTCTGAATTCTAAGCATGTGTGTGTGTCTATTATGTGCAGTTGTTTCCCAGAGGGGTTTTTAACCTTTCGCAAGGAATAGGACAAATATCCAATGTGAGATCTCCGTTTTTTTCACAGCTCAAAGCCAGTAACACAACCACAAACAGAAACTTGGTAAACAAGAACATTTTCTATGGCCCTGATTTCAGCTGTTTCACATGTTGATTTATGTATATAACAGACACAAAAAGGAAGACAATAAACTCTACAACAATTTGCTGTGATTACACTTTACTGTTGGCTTAGAAAATAATGATGTAATGACAGACACATCTTAAACCGACTCGTGTGATGAAGCTTCTAATTCACTCTCTGCGTCTCCTGTGCTTTAACGGGTGTAGATCCCTTGCAGACGGGGTGTCAGCTGTAGTGTTGTTTCTTTTTGACTGTGTGTGACCTGGGACGGTGGCACAAGCTGTGTAGTTGACCTACAGATTGAACCGAGTCAAGGCAATAGCAGCTTTTTCTCTAGGCCTTCATTGTGGGGCAGTTATAGTACATCAGTAGATTATCTGACCTTTCCCTCTGTGGCTGATTTGTCAACTCTTTCTGGGCCATATTAACCTTTTCAATGCAGAAATACATTTTCAATTAGGTGTTTCGTATTTATTGCCATGAAGCATACTTCATACTGGTTTGGACATTTATTTGGGGATTTTATTTTACTATTAACCCCAATACAACGAGCATATCTGAAATAGTACCAGCTGGAATGAGATGATTGCTAAGACTGGAATGAGATGGGATTGCTCTGCATTACCGCACAGTTTGTTATTACCATAATATAAAATACTTATTTCCCTGCCAGGTAAACAGGGGATAACAACCAACATCCTCTCCTCATGCCTCGAGGGAGAAGAAAGTGCTTCCCTGTAGCTTACCATTGTTGTAGAAATTACGGCTCTGTTTATGTGCTGAGCCGGTGTCAGCAGAAAGCTGCGGAAAACAATATTATGTTTATGAACAGGGAGACAGAGGGGACTTGTGGCCATAGCAGTCATATACTATCCTGCGAGAGCGGGGAAGAAAGAGAGCGTGAAAATGAGAGAATGAGCAGGAGAGAAGAGTCGGTCCGTATGCAGAGGCTCTGAGCACTTTTTCCCTCTCAACTTTGAGAAATAAATGGTCCGGAACAAAACAGAGAGGCAGACTCAGGAGGGGGAAAGCTGCTGCGAGATGGTACCGACTGTGTTGTTAACGCATCTAGGGCACCTTTTTCTTTCGCTGTCACCTCTCCTGCCAGTGACAGATGACACAGCACCCGTCAGAGGGATCCGGAGACAGTCTGCAGGAACACATTCACCTTAGGCCAAACTTGTCCAGGACCTCGTCCATCTCCCCATTCCTCCTCCCATCCAATCAATGCGGTGTCCATCCACTCTCACATTCTTCACTTGGCTCCTGATTCTACTCCCACCTCGCAACAGCAGTCCCTCTCTCCTTCTGTTTTTCAGGTTTTGCACAGTGTGATTGAAAACCGTAGCCCCTGTTGGGGAAAGGGTGAGATGTGTGAGAGCATGATGCCCCGATGGGGGAGGGGCAGTTAGTCTTGTACTGAATGTGCCAGAATCTGTTAGATAAAAATCACACATTGTCATTGTAAAGTGTATGGTGCTCTGTTCCTCTGTGTCTCTCCTTTCTCTGTTTTTCTTTCTCTGAACGACTCCTGGTGAAATGTATATTCAAACTGTCTCGGGCCACTGGGTTTTTGGGCAACTTTCTCAGGGAAATTAAATATTGATGGGCTATCCTTGACTCAAGGTTTGCCCACTAGGGGCAGTGCTGCTTCACAGGAATATAATCCCAATATTTAAAAAACATCTGCCCCTTCTCCCCCCGCATCGTCGTCATTATCTCCCACCCTCTCGTATATCATGTAAGAAACCCCCAAATTCACCACCCAGCCAGACTAAGCTGTTTCTTAGTCTTGGAAAGCATGTCTTAGCACCCCAGCCCCATATTTCATTTACTGCTGTCTATTAACTGCTGACTGACGACTCTAAATCCGCTTTTCATGGGCGGAAGGCTTTGATACATATTTCTGAACCAAAGTATAATTCAATGTCTCTCCAATGTCATGTCTGGGTTTTTTATAGACGGAGAAATAATTTGTTCTCTTCTCCAAAGGGAAAGAAAAAAGAGAATGATTCAAACATAAATACACATTTTCAGCTCATTATTATGAATGGTTATTTGTAAGCGAGACACACTGCTCGAATAATGATCATAGGGACTCCTACGTAATTAATGGGTTTATTAATTGTATTACAATGCTATAACTAAGATACATTTTCCTGCATATCGTCATAAGCTTTTCTGCATGCAGTCCTATTTTAAACCCAACAACCACAACATTTAAACTAAATGTGTCTGTACTCTGGTACAATATAATTATTATTCCTGGAAAGAAACACAAACATGTCCTTGTCCTGTTCGTTTGACTTGCCTCCGTACATGACAGTTGGCTTGAGTAATGCTAACCCTGTCTAGATTATGCCATGCAAACACAGTGAGTGACAGATGACGCCATCAGTCCATGGGCCCAGTGGATGCAGTTTGTTTTCTTGTTTGTGCTGCATGTCCCATCAAGGCTAGCCAGCTTAAGTCACCTCAGCCGCTGTGACCCCTGCTCATTTCTGTGCCACGATAGATTAAACCCCTGGTAATCCCTCTGAGCCCAGGGCCCTGTTGGATATTTATGGTAATAAGTAAACATATGAATAAATAATCTAAGAGGCTGCCACTGGACAGCTGGAACTTGTACTCTAAATCCAAATGGTTGGCATTAACGTGAGACGGTATTTCCAAGAAAAATCAGTTTTGGCTAAGATTTGTATTTGGTTGGACACACACTAGCTAAATCAATATATCAATACATGTATAAACATAGAGATAGAGATGGGCATGTGTTCATTTAGGCACATTCCAAGTTTTCTGAAGTAAAAACACAGAATATAAGTATAGTGCATCCGCTGACTGCAGTTTGGATGTAAGCCTTATTTCAAGTCTGTCAGGATTCAGGTCAGCCAGGGAAGGGAATATGATTAGTTTGGAGGGTTCTTGGAAAACCAGGCAATGATCTGATCTGCTTCCTCTCATGCCGTCAGTCAGCCAGTCAACAAAATCAAGCTGTTTACTGTTGGGCTTCATTATCCATCGAGAAGACTCTCTCCCCCAACCCCAAGAGTTTTCTTTAGTACCAACCAATCAACCCCAAAGCCCCTCATCTGCTCGCTCTCTGAGACTCTTCTGCTGGATCTCATTCCTCGGGGATGAATTTATCCAGATTGGAGCACTCAGCAAAAGGGCATTATCCCGGATTACATGTCTGTTGGGCGGCAGTGTTAAGTAATTCAACCAGATGCTGTTGTGATCACTGGGTCACCTGTGAAGGCAGGGTTAGCAGCTGCACTTCTTCATTCTTTATTGTCATATTTGTATCCTTCTGACACATTCTCCTTGGGCGACAGGTAAAAGAGATGGATGCAGCTCAATGATTTTTAAAAAGTAAGAATCCCTGTAAATGTAGGGCATTGTGCGGAACTCTCTACAACCAGAGTCAGGATTTTATTTGGTGACAGATTATAGAATGGATTAATGGCTTCTAAATTGCAGTTTAATGCACATGAAACAACAAGCGAAGCAACTAGAGTCGGCTTCACGCGGCTGTGTGTGTTCAGTTGTGGGGGTGCTGTGAGTACTGTAGTTGCACTGTTTTTGTTCCTTGGAGAGGATAAAGCATCGGCACAGCAGGGCTAAAAGAAATATGTTGGTGTTTTTAGAGTTTGACTGTTTCTTTTCTCTGCTAATCCTGTCTCTACCCAGCCGAGGTTTTGATAGATAGACATTTTAACTCACTACTGGGATATGTGATTGCTTGTGCAACACGGGTGTTCTGCTAGGTGTGTTCAAACAGAGTAACAATACAATGTTTGTACCTTTCTTGTCAAAATCCCGCTTTGCAAATCTGAAACATTAATAGGACTTTTGTTCACGCTAAGAAAATGTTCACCCCAATTCCTTTTCCCTCAGTAAATGTTCACACCACAGGGATGTGTGAATTAAAAAATGTTTTACAATACAATTTTACCAGTTCCAGAAGTTATACTGTA